GCTTTAGTATCAGATTTGTTGTTGTACCTGAGAGAAAACTAGCACTCTGTGTCCTCCCTCCTTCAGCTTCCTCATCATCTTTTGCAGTAACATCAGTTTCCCTGAAGACTTGATGAGAGCATTTCCATCATACATCCCGTTGGGCATCTTTGGAGCTTCCTGTTGGGACCAATCAAATGTTAAGGTTTCATAAATTGCATAAAAGGTTCGTCCAAAGGTAGAACAGTAGGAGTCCACAGCCTCCTTCCTAAATAAATGGTCTCTCCCTGGTGTTTGGGTCGTACCATAGCGGCCCCGGGGAAGAGGTAGGGGTGGTTGCAGCATTTCTTGAGGTCCATGACGACGTTGAGCAGTGAAACCTGGTTTCCTCCTCCTTTGGTGTTCAAAGCCTCAAAGTTTTTCGTCAGGATGAATTTGTAATATTTCCTGCAAACAGACCACAAACATTCAGCCTCACGTCCACCCTCCTCCACCTCTCTTCTACAGCTGCTGCTGCACCAACCACCCGACTCACTTCTGCAGCTGGCTGAGCTCCACTCTGACGATGAGCTCGGTCTTGGAGGGCATGTGCTTGAAGACGTCAGCCTTCAGCCTCCTGAGCATGTGCGGACCTAGCATGTCGTGTAGCTTCTTGATCTGGTCCTCCTTGGCAATGTCGGCAAACTCCTCCAAGAAGATCTCCAAATTACTGCAGAAAAAGAAATGACAGAGAGACCAGATCACCTGTGAGGTATTCCTTTACTTATCTGTAAAGCGATACATTTTTACAACGGAGCTCAGGCTCACCTGAACCTCTCGGGCGTGAGGAAGTTGAGCAGGTGGAAAAGCTCCTCGAGGTTGTTCTGCAGAGGAGTTCCAGTCAGCAGCAGTTTGTGCTGCAGGGAGTAGTTGTTCAACACCCGGAAAAACTACAGCAGGGGGAAACAAAAATGTTTATAACAGGATCAGGCTGAGTGAGAATTCACAGGCAGCTGCACATGTTTCCAATTCAGACGCACTCACAACAGATTTATTACAGCTGTTTCAAGTAACCATGCCGACAAGCAGCCCGATGATTCAGATAAACTTCTGATTCAACCACAGAACAGCTTCTCTTTGTTTTGTTATTGCAGTCTGGGATTTTTATTGCCCGCGTTGTTGCTGAAAAATGATTCGCTTGTGCGAAAGCGCCCCTCCCCTGTGTGTCGTACCTTTGATTGGTTGTTTTTTAGCCTGTGGGCCTCGTCCACCACCAGACAGGCCCAATCTATGGAGCCCAGGACGGCCATGTCGATGGTGATCAACTCGTAGGACGTCAGCAGAACGTGGAACTTGATGGATACGTCTTTCTGTTGGAGGAAATCGCCAAAACTCAAACTCAAGTTTGAACACACTTTTTTCCTGAGGTTTGCTATTTGTTTTACGGATTTCCACTCACGCCGCCGTCTCCTTACCTTCATCCTGGAGGCCTTCTTGCCTCCTCGGACGGCGTTATCCTCGAAGGAGAACTCGTTCTCCCGGATGACGGCTCTGCTGTC